AACGAGAGGTGAGCTTTCCTGCCTTTCCTAACACCTTCCCTACATGCCCTGGCAGTGTCTCCAACCCTTAGTTTTGTAGCCTGTGTGTCACCTTTTTGCACTGGAGCTCTGTCACGAGCTCCCTGCATAGGCAAGCCAATCTCCAGGTAGGCATACTCGTTTTCCAGAGTGTCAGGATGAACTGTTCATGCACTGGGGAGGATGCTCTTCTCAAAGACCTCCCAGGTTTCCTGAGCTCCACCACTACCACCTCTCTGTTACGTATCAGAACGTACATATCTCTAGCTGGACCAGCTGTCTGGAAAGACACTGGAGGTTCATGTTTCTCCTCAGTTTAAACAGTGAGTTCAGGTGAGACAGTCAGGGAACCATTCAGGTGTCAAAACGCAAGTGTCTAGTATAGACTTAGGCAGCCTAAGGTGTCTCAAGCATGTGTATGGAGCTTTCAGTTATGGTGCAAGGCCTCCAGAAGCCACCTTCTGGACAAGTGGCTGGCGGTCACATAGGGAGGACAAACTTGAACTACACTAGACTTCTGTGCTTAAGAATGTGAATTGCTTCTCCAACTTAGTCAGCACCAAGGGACGCACTTTGAGCCATCACCGTGCTAAATTGCTTCAGCTATATAGTTTTTAAAGTAAATTCTATGTGCTAGGGCCTGGTTTCTGGCCCAGAGGTCAACTGACATAGTCTGGCCACATCCATTCTACCACACTCTCCTAGCTGCGAAAGTTGAGAATCCCCACCCAAATTGCCTGCTGGTAGTAGACTTCGGCTCATGCTAAATCCTGACTTGTTCCTGGTGGTTTCCCTGAACTGTTTACTAGTCCCAGGAACATGCTAACAGTTTAGGAGAACAGACCCTTGTGTTCCAGGATACTCCTAGGTAGGAGTGTGGAATTACCACTGCAGCAGCAACTTCTGAGCAGAATTCTTTTTCACCCTCATCCTAGAGCTATCATTAAGACATTGCCTGAATTACACCTATTTACACAAGTGAAAATCTCAGTCTTAAAAATGGAGTGGGAAAGACAGGAAAGCAAGAGGAAAGTTGGTGCCCAGCATGGGGCACGAAGGCTTGAGATAACAGATCTGGCCAGAGCATGTTGAAACAAATTTGTCATATGCATTTCTTATGTTAGATAAATAGATGCTAGTCACGATGTTGGTTCATTTGTTCACATGGTGGCATTTTGTAAGTTCTTATATGCACTATGTATTGCCTGCAGTTACGTTTATCACCTCTGGGAGAGGGATCAGGATTATAATTTTGCTATACTGGGCAATGTCGACTTATGAAATGATTACATCACTGGTCATGAGGTTAAGCTGGTATCTGGATGCAGCAGCTATATAATTTCCATACTTCCGGCGCCCTCTATCCGATTTTATTGGTAAGTGCACCCAATCCATGGGGAAGTCAGGGGGGATCCTTCCCCCGTTCGTTCACCTCCCTTCTCTCCTTCCGGCTAATTACAACAGGTTTTGAGAATTTTGAATATCCTTGGGATGCGCAAGCCAGCATGCTGTTAGTGCTATGTCTCCTGAATATGTTTCAGGTCTTGTTTAGGGCTACAAAAATGTTTTTTAAGAATACCACCCAGACATCTCCCCAAAGCTGGATAGTCAAGCAAAGGATTCAGGCAGTACCAGGGAAACACTTTTGAATCTTGTTGGCCTTCAGATGGCAGCAAAGGATTGGAGATAAGGGTGAAAAACCCCCAAAGGGACACTGTCTTATGGGGCTGGAGAAAGAAGCAGCTTGGAAACAGGCAAACAAAATAAGGATACCTGATGAGAATAATAAAAGACATTGATTCGTTTACTTGCCTTCTCTTTAAAAATGAGAGCAAGAGCATGGAATTGCCACCTTCATTGTTGTCATTTCAGCACTTCTTCAAGAGTTTCTTGGCTGTGTCCTAGAATTCTGATGAGTGGCCAGCTCTTGCTTTGACATCATTTGGTGTCCCCTAACTCTACATCTGTTTTCTCCAGAATGGATTAGCTAGTTTCAACTCTCCCTTTTCAAAGTCAGTCTTCTTTTTCAGATGAAGAAATTTCTGAGAGCAGAACCAACAAGCTTGTTAGTAGTTAAGCTGTTCAGTCACCAGGCTGGGAGCAATATAAGTACCTGGAGAGAGTCATCTGGTCACATTTTAATGCCTATGGCTGTCCCATTTGGCCTACAGCTACCACTCCAGAAGGGCACATTTCCTCCAGATCATATGTTATAGCTGCCAGACCCACACAGATGTCTTCAATACCCTAAAATATTGTTGAAGACATGTGTTTAGGGACTAAAATGGCACTCTGGCTTTGCCTTATGTGGTGTGGGCACCTAAACTTCCCTTCTGGTCACGGGACAGCTTCAAAACACAGTCACTGCAGTTGAGACTTGTTCAGCACTGCCCAAGCAGACAATATCTGGCTGGATGAACTGTTCCCTGAACTCAGTCAGGGTAGTGACCAAATCCCCATTAACGACCTTGTGAATTCAGATTCCCTGGCTGCCATGGAGATTCTCTCACGAAATGTGCGCATTTGGATGTTCTCATCCACTGCTAAATGCTACCAAAGACACTGCAGTGTCTTTGTTGGAATGACCCTTGGGATTGTGACTCAATAGTTATGAGATGGAAAAGGCTTCCTGCTGTAGGCAGCCAGGTGCCCTCTGGTACTCTCTAGTTCCCTGGGTGTTGGAGAGATGGTCCTGATTCCTGGCGCAGAGTCACGTGGTTCCTTCCCAAAGTCCTTCTGGAACTCTTGGTATCCCCCAATGTTCTTAAGTGTCCCTAGTTACAGGACTGAGTAGGGAATACCTCCCTGATGAATAGTCCATTCCAGCTGCACTCCCATTTTCTGATCTGCTGACACCATTTTTGGCACTCCAAATGGCCTTGATATGGACAGGCAACATTGAATTGTGGAGCTTCTTATGGCATTTTAGACACAGGGAGAGATTACTGTATTTTTTTTTATCTTCTCTTATGCAAATTTTTTAACAAAATTCTGTCCTTAGGTTTGGAAAGCATCACAGAGAACTGCAGCAGGATGTTTTGATGACTTAGACTATACCAGACTAATACAACCAGTGGAAAACTGGAAAATTCATTTTCTAAGAACTGGACAGATTGATGAGTGTTTGTGGACACTGAACTTGATAAAAGCCTGAAATATCCAGAAAAAATGTTGAGGAAAATGTTGAATGGTATGGCTTATCTCACTTGGCAATATTTTTTGAAACCTGCAGGGTCAGAAAGTGATATTCCAGCCAACAGAAACAAGCTATAATTTAGAAACCTTCAGTCAGGAAAAAAAAAAAAAAAGGAAAAGAGAGGAATTCTTGGGTGGGTGACCATTTCACCACACAAGACGACAAATACCATACCTAGGAAATATAACAGATACTGAAGGAAATAATGAGAAGAAATGTATTTTTTATTCTAATGCATTGATAGTTATTAAAACTATCAATTTCTCTTCTTTCTGTCCCTCTTCTCTCTCCTTTTGTTCCTTCCTTTTTGTTTTTAGGGGTTGGAGGTTTTTTGGTTTGAGTTGGGTTGGGTTGTGGTTTCTTGGTTTGTTTTTTTCAGGTTCTTTCTGTTAAAGAGTTCCTCCAGAAGCTAAAAGAGCACAAGGCTGAAGAACAAGAAAGCGAGCTGCCAGGGAGCTGGTGTTACTTGTTAAATTAAACATTGTTGCAC